ATTCAGCACAGCTGCTGAGTTGTCCTTTTCTCCTTCCTTTCCTCCTTATCTATGGGGCTCTGCCAAATGTCCCTGTGGCCTGTAAATTCTGTGTCCACTGTCAGCTGGAACAACCTTCTTCCCAGGTTTTGGTAACCTCCTCCTAGGTCTGAGATCATTGAAAGGTGTTGAGCCCTAAACCTTAACAAGGCAATTCCACCAACAAGTAATTTGCCTTTTCAGCACCTGGACATCACTTAGAGCTTGTTGGCTGCTCTCTATTGCATGGATTGAATCTCCTTTCTTCTTGGTTAGGTTTCAAAGTGGGCAAAGATCAAGCATCAAAGGACATCCTTTCTTAAGGAAAGAGGCGAGGGAGAAGGTGTGTTTTAGGTGTCTTGTTACCCCAAAATCATCCCTGTTCTCTGCAGATGGCGTAAGCACACAGATATTGTCACCTGCTGGCAGGTGCTCTGTTGGCTGCTCCATGAATTTAAATGACATTTAAGATACAGAACTCTGAGAACTTAAAGAAGCAATTAGTAACTTTTGATTCATGCTTTAACAGGTGGCTAGATTAAATCTGATTTAATCTGATCAATGTTATTTTGAGCAGATAAGGATTTTGATGAGAAAGAGTAAAGAAAAATCAATGCATGCAAAATAGCCAACTAGATTAAAAGAGTAATTAACTTATTGATTAAACCTTTAGTAGTAGATAGTGAACACCTCTCTGAATCCTCTGTTGCCCTGAAAAAAATTATCAGAGTAACACACATGTGATTTGTTTTCAGGCAGAGTTAAAAATCTGTGCAGCTGTTTCTCATGTGCTATTCTATATGAAGCAGACTTCAAACTGTCTTTTGTGTTCTAGCACTGCATCTAAATGATGTCTCATAATGGATTAATGCTAACTATTGATTTATTTTTTTAAATTAGGTTTTCTATTTATTTCAGTCTCGGCTCCCCATTTTTGCCAAGTAATTCTTTTCTACAATCAGCCATGCCATGGGGTAACTTAAAAAAAAATACAGTCATCTAGAAACATAGACAGTGAAAGAAGATTGAGCCCTAGTTGAACCAATTTTTTTAGGGTTTTGTTTTAACAAACTGCTTTGGATAAAATCCTTCCCCTTTTCCTTATGGCTTTGAAAACATCTTTATTGAACATGATTTCCAGTACCTGAAGAAACATGGAGAGTGACTTTTTACAAGGGCGTGTAGTGACAGGACAAGGGGGAATGGCTTCAAACTGACAGAGAGTAGGTTTGGATTGGATATTAGGAAAAAATTCTTCCCTGTGAGGGTGGTGAGGCCCTGGCACAGGTTGCCCAGAGAAGCTGTGGATGCCCCATCCCTGGAAGTGTTTCAAGTTGGACAGGGCTTGGAGCAACCTGGGATAGTGGAAGGTGTCCCTGCCCCTGGGACAGGGAGTTTGGACCTTTAAGGTTCCTCCCAACCCATACTGTTCTGTGATTCTATGATTTTTTAATTTTTTTTTAATATGCTTTTATCAACAAAAGAAAATAAAGCAGCTTTACTTTAGGCTTTGTTCAACAAAGGAAATGGGCTGGAAGGAACACTTTACATGAAGAAGTTTGCTGGAAAAATGTGAATGTGCTTTCTAAAGGTGCTTACAGGGGGAGCAGAATTGCTTCAATCTTTCTCTGATCCTATCACACAACTCCTGCAGGTGTTGGTCACTCAGTGCTGTGTCGATAAGTGACATCCACTGTCTTGCTTTTCTGTATAGTGGGGAAGTGTTGCACTGCTTTACTTGCGCTATTCAAACTGAGATTGTTTTGAAAATACCTTAAAAATGGTTTAAAAGTTGTAATATCCTTTCTTTTGTTGAAGCTTCCCTGTTATAGCTATAGAAGCTATTGAGGTCTGTGTAAGACCATCAATTTACAAACTGACCACAGGAAGGCCACAATCAGCAGTGCTTTGGGTTCGTCCTGCCTGAGTTTCTCACATAAGCACCACAGCTTCCCCCCTGAAAGTATTAATGTGCTTTATTCCATGGTTTTGTCTTGAAGGCTGGTGGAGTTGCTGGTGTCTGTGTTGACTTGATCCTTTTCCCCCTGGATACTGTAAAAACAAGACTGCAGAGTCCTCAAGGATTTAGGAAGGCTGGTGGTTTTCGTGGCATCTATGCTGGTGTTCCTTCCACTGCGATAGGATCCTTTCCAAATGGTAAATTGTCTTTGGGTTATGCTTTGTCTTATTACAGTGGGAATTTGTGTTGCACAGGACATTCATGCTTCCTCTCCTGCAGGAGCCTGTTTGGATTCTGTGAGTCCATGTCCAGCTGTGAAGGGCAGATTCTGGAATTGTGCAGTATTGAGCAAACTCTTGAGCAAGCCTGGAGTGAAGGCTGCTGCATGTTCACTCTGAAAAGCAACCCTAATTCCTTGGAAGGGTACCTGGATATAAACCTTACTTATAGGGGCACCCTAAAGCATTTCTAGGTGCCAGAGAGGGCTTGAGTCTTCCTTGCCCTGGACACTTTAGTCATGAACCCACTCTGCCACAACACTGGAAAGGGATAAAAGTCCAAAGTGCTTGACCAACAACATACTTTTGAAATACTTTTGAAACTGATCTTTTTAAAAAGTAAATGCTTGTAGTTCCTGCAGAGAAAAGGCATCTGAAATTCCTGATGCCTTTGTCCATTTTGTCTTTGGGGGGGTGGGATGAAAAAAAGGCAAGCTGTGCTGTCAGACGTAAATGTCAGGAGAACTTTGCTGACAAATGCACTGACACCTTCAGATGTTTGATGTCCTTCATAAGGTGATATAAAAAAAAAATCAGTTCTTTATCTTGGCTGCTCTGTTATCTCCTATTGAGGTGATAAGCATCTTTTGATTAGCAGAAGGCAATTCACATGGCCCTTCTGTACAATTAAAATCTTTTCCCCCGCAAGACATGTCATTTTTTCCAGGATTTACATCTCCAAAATCTGAACTGTGGTTTTATCTTTCCAACATATGACTGAGAACTGAAATTATCTTTAGGAGAAGAAATAACCCTTAAGGTGTAAGTGCCTTTGTAGCTGACTGTTGCAGTGAATAAACACAGCTCATGTTGCTGTGCTCAGCTTAGTTTTGTATGGTTTTTGTTCACTGCACAAAACTTTTACAAGTCTTTGACAAGCTTGCAAAAAAAATTGTGGCACTAAATTGCAAAATATTAAACTGACGATAGCAGGCAAGAAGTTATTAATAAACTGCTGCTGAAATAGTTTTGCACGTTAAGGAGGGCAGAATTGTATCAAGTGCCTTGATGAATTTTGGGTTGGTTTGTTTTTTTTTCAATTAATTGTTTTTTGTTCATGCCTCAAAAAACCACCATCCATTCAATTACACCAAAAGATCTCTCCATCTGGGAATATGGAAGGTACCATTTATTCAAAATGTGCTGGACGTTCATGACTAATTAACACATCTTTCCTTATCCCTGTACTAAATGTGTCCTAAAGCCCTGGCACCTTTGTTATTAATGGGGATATTTGCCGGGATAGCCAGGAGCATAAACTTCTGAAGGGATTATCCCACAGATTTTGTTCATACTATTGTATTGTTTTGATGTAAAAATATCCTGGTTTTAGCTACAGTTGCACAACAATAGGTGTCAAAATCCACCTCTAAATGCTTTTTGTGGTAGTTTTGTGATGGAGGAACAGTGAAATGATTGCATGTATTCTTGAATTTCAGCTGCTGCGTTTTTTATCACCTACGAGAATGTGAAATCCCTGCTGCCCCATGGCTCTTCATCTTACCTGTCTCCAGCGACACACATGGTGGCTGCCTCCCTTGGGGAAGTGGTAAGAAGGAAGTTCATGTATTGTGTGTCCATGAGAGGAGAGGAAACCATTCCATTATGAAAACTTGGGTTTGGCATCGTATCTTTCTGAGTGTTGACCATAATTGTGACAGTTCTTATAAACTGGCACTTGTAAGGATTGCTTCAAAGTGAGTAAATGACTTAATAAGAATTCTTTGTGGGTCTGTTGGCTGATCTGGCTAAGTCAGTAGGGGGTGAAAGGGTGGATTATTCAAAAACATAAACGAACATTTACAGGATAGAGCTGTGTGACTTCATGTGCCAAACAACGTGAAAGTTTTCCTGATGAAGCCTCTGTCAGTGGAAAATATAATGGATAATCTAATGAAGCTTCTTCCCTTGGGATGAACATTTCTATACTTTAGTGACAGCTTTTCACGTGGTCTCTCTGATAGCTGCAGCCTTTACTTTAATGTGTTGGTTGGGTTATTGCAGCTTAAAGATGCATGTAAATAATGGAAATAATTTCTATATATAGGCTTTTTGAAAACTCTTTCCTCCCACTGTTTTGAAAAGTTGCTGTGTTTCTTATCCATTAAATCCATTACTTTGTTTATAGCAGGTTCTGGAGCTGCTAGTAATGGCTTGCTTTGCCCAGGTTTTTACAATACCCAAAATAACTGGGACCAAATTTAGTAAACACTTTAGATGTCATTAAGGAAGGTCACAAAAGAAGCCTCTCTTGTTTTGCTGCCTAGATTACCCTTGCCTTGTTAACAGCATGGACTTGGCTGAAATTAATGGGAGTGTGTGAATTTTTTGTTTGTTTTATAAGTTAAAAATGAAATAGCATTAACCCATTGAATTTAAGTAACAAAATACTTCTCGCCCTCCTGATTTTCTAATCTGGCATGTGTAGGCTGTTTCCCAGCATATATTGACCACTCCTTAGAGTTTTTAGGTTTTATTTTATTTATTTTGAGAGAAGGAAAGGTTTTCAGTACTAAGGAAATGCCAAGGCTGTATGTGAACGTTTGAGATTTTAAAATTAATTTCATCACCAACGTGCAATGCCAGGATGACTGGACAACCTGTAAATCCACAGAACTGAAAGTGTGGCTCTGGCAGGAGCTGGTAGGTGACACTCTGTGGCAGATGTTGAAAGGAACACTCTTCAGTGTGATCAAACTATGACCATTCCTTCTCTGTAGGTAAATACCAAAGTCACTTTATCCACACTCTTTATCCCAGAAGCTTGAATATTTTGTTTTTAAAAAACTGTCTGAGCTTATTTTCAAACAAAAAGAGCAAGGCTGCTTTGGCTTAGCTGAATCAAATATATTACAGGTTCAGCAAAATCCTCCTTTCCCTGGATACTACTCTCACTTTTATCTGTTGGCACAGTGCCTTGGCAGTGTTTGGGGATGGGTGTTGAGCTGTAAACAGTCCATGCTGTTCCTGCCAGTGCTGGCCACCTCTCCTCTCCAATTTTTGTCACACAGGGTGTTTCCTGGCACTGCACTGATAAAATGGGGTGTGAGTTGATGTGTCTCCACAAGTTTGGGGCTGTATGGAAATGGCTTTTCTGGCTCTTTTGCAAGTTAAACTTGGGCTGTGGTGTGGGGCAGAAAAAAGTTGTGTCTGTGGTTTCATATTTGCTTTTATTAACTGATTTTTTCTTTTCTTTCCCATGGTGATTTAGCTCAGATGTAGGTTGGTCCCAAGCTCCCAGGAGTGTGGAGGTGCCTGTGCCATCTCAGGTTAACACCAGGTGCCTCACTGCTACAGCAGCACAGCCTGGCTACTTTCCACGGGAAGCAGTTCAGCTGTTCCTGCTCTCTGTGGGTTCAGTTTTGATCCCCAACTAATTTTCATTCTTCTGTGGAAATGATACTGATTAGATTGAATGGGATTTAGCCAGGAAACTTAATTTAACATACCAAGCACATGAAGATATGTGAGTACAGCATCTATAACCACTCTGGTAATGGCAGATAGAAGGTGATAGATTTAGGGCTGGGTGGGATATGTTTGTGTTGCTGACTCAGGTGGGTTCTTTCTGATCTTGATTAGAGCCTGTGCTGTCAGGTTATGACTTCCAACTTAAGGCAATGCACAGAACTTATTTCCATTAAAATTCTCTAAAGGATGTTTGAAATCAGCAAGAGGTTCTTCACCACCATGGCAGTGCATAGCCCTAAAATTCCTTGTTTCCTGATAACCTGATAGAATGGCAGATCCATGAGGTGTTTTAAGCTTCTCAAGTGCTGTTGCAGAATCAAGAGAAATGACAGTTGGGCTCATGAAGAGGTGCCAGTGATTTGGAATAAAATATACTGGGGAAAAAACCAACCCCAAACACCCTTCCTTGTCAAGTAGGTTATTTATAGTATACTCCCTCTGCCTGTGAGGCTTCTGTGAGAAAGCTGTAACTGGGTAGGTTAATTAATAGCAGCCAAAAACCAGTTGGCTACAAATTACTCCATCCAGCAGAACCTGTTGCCCGTTTTTTTCCAAGTTGGTCTGTAGTCTGTGACCCTTACAACTCAGACACTTAATGCTTTCATTTTGGAGCTGGCAGAGATGGTGCAGAACAGTTAAATGTGTTGCTCAGGGCTGTCTCATATGCTTGGCTCTTGCTACTCGAAGGCCAGAGAAATGTATATTGGTAGTCATCGAAATGGCAATATCACTTAATGGTGTGGAAACTGCAGTGTTGTAATAGCCATTTTTCAGCTCATTTTTCTGCTTTTTGCTAGCTTTTCCTCTCCTCTTGGACTGATGGGTGTGAGGGGAGAACTAAGCTGTAAAATACCTGAGACAGGGATTTGGAGATTTGCTACAACACACCTGTAATAAAATAGCACAAAGCAAGACCTTCTCACATTTAGTCTTAGTTGATCAATAGAAATATACAAACTAGTCCAAATTGCACCAGGGTGAAAGTTATAATTATAGTTTTATTGATTAGTCATTAAGTTTTAATCAGGGCATAACCACTGGGACTATTATTTTGTCAGTAGTTCTTTCTGATAATATGTACTTTTCTCGCATCGTATGCTCTGATAGGTATTTAGTATAAATTGCTTTTAAATGTGAAATAATAAACCACACACTCTGTCATGTTAGGATTCCTAAGGCATGTCTTTGCATTTCCACACTGTTTTTTTAGGAAACAGAGAAATTAAGATTTAGAGCAAAAAAGTCACGTTGGATTTCTAGGTTTGCTGTTCTTTCACAGGTGAGCATAAATGAGTCAGATACCTTCTTGTGCACCAGGAAAACGTGATTATGTGCAAAGCTTAAATGTGTGTTTATGCTTACCAATCTGTGTTTTGAATGTGACCCGCTAAAAATAATAAAATGGGTAAAGAGGAAGAGATACGAAGTTTGCATCAAGACATGATAAAATATATGTGAGAAATCAATCAAATGGGAAGTCTTAGTTGTTATAACAGCCCTCTTCTGTATTGTTTGCAGTCTGTGGAAATTCATGGGAAACAAAGTCCCCAGGGACTGCTCTGGTCCATTTTTCCAGGCTGGGAGGCACAAAACCAAGCAGTGAGAAGGCAGTGGCTGTAACACTGTTTTGTTTTTTTTTCTTTGCCTTTTAGGCAGGAGAAATATAAAAAGCTAATCTCATCTCCCAGAGTGAGATAAAGAAAAGTACATTCAAAATCTGACCCTGTTAAACGTAATTAGTTTTTCCTATAACTGAATCTCGCTGTATAGGGACTCTGAATATCCCATAATACATGAAAAATTACTTAAAAAGACACAGCCAAAACTCTGGAGGGCACACACATGGTACATCATCTCATCTCATCAAGGAAGAAGTAGGTTGATGAATATATGAGTTACCAAGGGGGGGAAAACCCCTTATTGTACCACTTGTGTAACTGAAATGTGGAGATAGGAAACACACTCCCTGCATCCAGGACATTGGAATTTTTCATCTTGACTCGACTTTGCCCTGTATGTTTAGTCTGCCTGTATCTTTACACTGAGCTGCCAAATGTGCTTGGAAAACATGATATCATAGGGAGTGGAAAGGAAAACCAGATGTTCTGAAATTTTACTTTTAATATTCTGAGGCGGTATAAGTAACTCTGAGAAGGAACAGTGTTTTTAACCTCCTAGTGCCCATTTTAAGTAGTAACCAGTTGTGTCTTGCAGAACCAGAGTAAATTGTACAGCTCCAAATTGGTTTGTACCGAGTTTTTTTAATGTCAGTTTAATGTGACAGTGTATGTATTAATTACAAGAAGCTTTGATATGTTGAAGTCCTGCTCTGAGCCTCTCGCACCAACCTCCTGCAAACATGGTTTTGTGGGACAAGTCTAAGGTTGTCCCAGTTTGACCGATGAGGTTTCCTTCAGGAGTGCCAAAGTGGTTGGATTCAGCACAGCTAATTTGGATTCAGCACAGATAATGTTGCATCCTGCTGGCCTTTCCATGGAGGTGAGAATAAAGTCGTTTGGCTCACGTTGTGGAGAAGGGAGCTGACAACAGCCTTTTCCATCTAATGTTTAGATATTGTTATGGTTACCATCTGAGCTTTGCAAGATATTCAGTGAAAGTTTTGGGCTGTTGCTTGTAAATACTGGGTTCACTCTTATCTCTCTGACCTTTTGTTCTTGATTGGCTATTTTTGATGACATTGTCTTTCTATTTTTTCCCCTACTCTGTAAGACAGCAAGTTACCTTTACATTCAGAGAGGAAGTGTGTGGGAGGACGGAGGACCAGAATGGGAAGGAGATGTCCTGTTCTTTTGGCAGGTGTTTGTAATGACCATGCTCTGGAAGTAGATTACCAGCTGAAGTTACTGAGCTGCTTTTGTCCTTGGGTGAGTCTCCAGAGTACTTTAGGGAGATTTGAATGCTGGAGGTTTGAAATGTCCAAAAGTTCGTCGCTTCAATGGGGAGAGGGGATGATGTGGCTCCACAGGGCAAGGTGAGGACAGGTATTCCAAGGTGAAATTCCAAGCTCACTTGTGTATTCCAGTGTGTTGCCACTTGAGGTACTTCTGTGATAAGAGCAAAATGTGTGGTTCATCTGTGATTAGCATCTGACCCTCCATATTAATAACTTGGGAATTTTTTTATCTGCTGTTGGGATGTGTCAAATAGGAAAACTTCTTTATGTTAGTTATCTTTCTGGGGAATTCAGTTAGCTTTCTCTGCTAGCCTTAACTTGTTTCTTACAAGAAGCAAGTTCGAATGCAATCAAGTTTACAGTTTACAAATCATGATTCTGTAGAAAGACATTTTGAGTGTGCTTTAAATTCAAATAAAGGAGGAAAATCTATGTATTTGTTTTATGCTTGTGTTTTTTGGCTTTCTTTCCTGGATAAAAAGAGACATTTTAAGCATGGTAGACAACACAGTGTTGTCTACCATCTGTGGCTGTGAATCAGCCCCTTTTTCCCTCTGCCCTGGCAGTATGGTTTGATACAGTTAACTGGTTTCAGTTTAATGGAAGAACAGGAATCTCCAAAAGTTTATTGGTATGAATTCCATGAGTGTAACTGTCCGGGTCAGAGAAGAAAGTTGCTATTAATGCCTGTTCTGAGGAAAAGGCAGAAGCATGAGTCAGACAAATCCACAGAGTAATGGAATGAGAGGATCTCCAGCAGGATAATTGGTCAGGGCTTTACAGCACAGTAAGCTCTAGATCAGCTTGCAGGAGTCCAATCTAACAGAGATAAAACAGCCACTCACAACAGACATGAAGTTAAGATTTTAGGTATTTGAAACTCCAAAAATTGCATGTTGGAAGATGTGGCTTTTCAGTTCAATTGGCAAGTTGGACACTGTAGGCAGAGCTGCTTTTAGTTCAACAAAGAAGTGATTTAGTACTTAGAGTGTCTAGACTTCGGGCTAATGGCTTTGAATTTTTAACTATCTCTTTTCCAGGAACTAATTAATAAATGGACCAAACTCTTTGTTTAAAACTAAAAAGCTGCATTTTCTGCCTTGCATCCCATCTCCTCTCAACCCATGTAGTGTGGGCTGGCAGATCATGGTATTCAAAGTAGTATCCAAAGTCTGACAGCAGCCAAAGTTTGGTGGGACTTCTTCCACAGTGCTTCAACTTTTTTTTTGTATCTTCATTGATCAGTACTTGTAATTTTAGCTGTGACTATGCCTTTTGTGCTGTGCATATCTGGCTGCATCCAGGCTTTTGGAAGGGGAGTATGCTGACCCTGGCAAGATGAGCAGTGCAGGGGAGTGAGCAACGTCGGTGGTCTTTTGAGTTAATCGTGGTGGGGTTTGAAATACTCATAAATTAATCTGTGTGAGGTCAGGTCTGCAAGACAGATGCTGTAGGATTTTTGCCAATTCCTTTTTCAGAAGCAGTGGTTGGGAGATGGTTGGGAAGGTGAGACTGCTGCCATTAAGAGTTAATGGGGAAGGAGCAGAGCTGGAGAGGATGGAGACTCAAATTAGAGCTGTGTCTGGGAATTGGTTGTAAATAAAGATGAATGCAGGAGTGAATCCACAAATGCTGCCAACAAATTCATCATACAATTAAAGGCTGAACAGCAAATTAAGAACTGTCAAACACCTAACCAGCCACCCACGCTGATCTTTTCTTGTATGCTCCATGCTAACTGCATATATTGCCTCTTCTTCATCAGCTGCTCTTCCAACACTGCTTTGTGTTATCTGCTCAGTCCAGGGCTCAGAGGACATGCTACTTTGCAGTAAAGCTTGATGGTTGTCGTGTCTTTTCTTTTAATGCTAGGGCTGATACTCAGTTGATTTAGAAATGTTCGTAGCTCAAAGTGTCTGTAGAGGAAAGCTAATTTGGATTAAGGAGTGTAAGTGAGAAATAAATAATCTGAAGGTATTTCCTGATGGATTTCCTGACTTATTCTACCAAATTCAGATTTGGAAATGTCTGAGATACTTTGGAATAAACTTACCTTAAACTAATGTTCTACGCAGGGTTTGTCAGGAACAACTATGAATAGCTCCATATGTGGACAAGCCCATAATTCTTCAAGTGAAAAGGCTGAAGGAAAGAGTAAGGGATCAATTAGAGGAAAATACTTGATAAAATACAATGTAGTTGAAATTTCCGTGTTCTGGGCCAATGTAGCCCCCAGAGACCGAGCAAATTGTAAAACACTAGTCATCTTTCAACAAGAGACTTAATGTGTTTTCAGAAAATATTGCCTGTGTTCTCTTGCCTGGAATCTCATTACCGTCTGTCCTCCTGTAACACAGCCTGACCCCACTTGGCTCCTTGGAAACGGTTTTATGCTGGATGGGATGCACCGTGCTACTTTTGCTGAAAGAACAGTTTGGCTGGTGGATTTGATTAGTTTCTTAAGCCTTTTAAAATAAGTTTAACAGACTCTCCTGGTGAAAGAGTTGCTGGAATAGATTGGATCATGCAGATGGTTCTGTACATTGAATTAAAGGTCTACTTCTCTTTGGTTTTAAGGCTTTCTGTGTTTAAATGTGGTAGTAATTTACGATTCAAGCATCAACCAGGTTAAGGAAGATTTTTTTAAAGCTATTCATCTGATTTTTACCACTTGTGTTTAACTTGTGACTCCTAAGGAACTTCAAAATCCATGGGACACTTAGTTTGTGCTGGAGTACAAAATTTGTAGGGAATGTAACTGGGCAATTGAAGGGCCATGTGTGGGGAGGGAAATCTGAGAGAGGGGCAGGAGCCCAGTAGCCCTGAGAGGGCTCCTGAGATGATGGATGAGGAGCCAGCTGAGGACTTCAGGCAGCTGGGGGTGAAGAGGCTCATCCAGGAAGGCCATTGTGAAGGAAGAAGTGTGTGGTGGTGCAGATGATGCTCTGAAGCAGGAAGAAGGGAGCTCTGGAAAGTAATAAAATGGAGGTGACTTAGGTTTGACAATGACAGGATGAAATAATGCTCTGCAAAACACCTCTGCAGATTCCAGGTAAAATTGTCTAAGGTGGGAACTTGGAGGAAGTTGAAGACATTTGTGCAGAAACTCCAGTTTTCCAAATGCTTATGACATTTGGTCCCTGTGAATGGTCTCCTCTCTGAAATAGTGTGTTTTTAAGCTCTGGGAGGTGCTGAGATCTGAGGGATCTTGCTGGGTGAGGTTGTTCTTTGAAGAAATGTTTCCTGCTGGCGTACAGGGGAGCTGCAGTTAAATTAATGAAGGCCTTATTGTGTCAGTCAGAGGCAAAGATGGGACAAAGAGCTTGGCATTGTCCAAGCTTTCCCATCCAGAGCCCATTAGTCAAAGCTTGTTCTCTCCATGGGGTTTAAATTAGGAGTGGAGTCACCTGTTCATGACCCCAGCAGCTTTACACAGGACTGAATTTAACTGTGCTGGAAGGGCACGTCTGTGCTGTGCATGAGAGGGGGAGGGGAAAATAAGATCAGCATATTCTGAGTTTTAATGCTAAAGATGAACACTTTTTCCCTGGGGCTGGCATTTAAAGCAGAAACTGATAGTGGACAGTGCACGTACTGGGCAGTTTCCGTCACCCCTGGAGGCAATTTCCTCATTAAAATAGGTGTTAACGCTTCAATTCTCCACTTCAATCCTTCTCCAGCAGGTAGCACAGCCTGCTGACAAGCACGTGTGGAGGGACTTGTTCTCATCTTGAGTTGTGACCCAGAGCAAATTACTGACCATAGAAACCTGTATTTTTGTTCTGCCTCGGTCAAAGGGGCAGTGATTATTTAGATGAAGGTTTGTTGGTGTTTGAGCTATTATGGGTCTGTGATTGCAGCAATTCAGGTGCTCTGTTCAAAGAAAATATGAAACCAAATGACACATGAGTATTTCCTGTTTTCTCTGCTTTTCTGTTAATTTTCCTGGTGGTGGAAAGGGGGAGGAAGTTCATCTTCCATCTACGGATACATCTCATGTTCCCTGCTAGCAAACATTTCCAAGAGCTGTGACTACAGTTTAGAAGCAGTTATTTGGAGGGTGCTTTGCTAATCTTATAATATTGCATTCACTTTTCTCTTCTGTTTGAGAGGGCAAATCCCAGAGAGATCTGAAGAACCAAACATAAATTTACAGGTTTTGGAGAGGCATGACAAGTGGCAGTGCTGAATTCAAGGTTTCTTGAGAGCCTCTGACTTGAACCAAGAGGTTCAAATTTCCCCTACTTTCTCAGGATCCAGAGGAAATCAGTGCAACTTCAAATGTCTTAATTTTAAACTCACCTATTATTTTAATAATTCAGTTACCTGAGAAGGGGAAAAGGACATTTTTTGTGTTTCAGATTAAAAATAGTAACTTCCTGCTTAGAAGGGAGCATCTGACATAGAAATTGAGATGTTCAGATTATGACATTAACCCAACCAAACACAAAACCAGCAACAAAACACACTTAAGCCCCAAGGTAGCTTTTGTCTGCAGGAGGTATACAGCACCTGTAGGGTCAGGGCTAATGCAGAGTACACTTAAAAAACCCACAAAACCAAATTTACTGCTGCTTCTCTTTGAAGGGGTTTTAGAATTATTCCATCTCTTGTGCTTATTTTACTTCATGTTGCAGCAAGCATTTCTTCTGACCTTCAAGAATGGGGTTGAGAGATTAGGATTTGTTAGAAGATTGACTGCAGCCTAAACATATGTCCTCTGATAAGTCATAGCCTCTTTGTTGTGATTTTTGTGCAGCAGCCTTTTCTCTCTAATGGGTTGCCGATTGTCTTGCCACAGGTATCGTGAGGTTTATCTTAAAGTCTCTGCTCTCTGGATACAAAGTTTTATAGTGTCATAAATTAGATTCTTATTTTATGAAGAGTAAATTTATGCAAATGGCATTTAAGAGTCATTGTCCCCAGGTATGTTCTTTTAGTTCTGTGTTAAGTTATATTTATATGGTGAACATCAATTAAAGCTTCTCAGCCTACTTAGGCAAATAAAGTCATTAAAATTAACCTCCTGCTTGAGAAATTTAAATATTAAAATCCTTTAGAAAGGGTTCTAAAGGGTTTAAAGGTGCAACAGAGAAAAGTTTTCTGGAGCTTACTGCATGTTTCTGTACCAGATTTTCCAGTAGGCTTAGTTGTGCAACCCAGAGATTTGCTCGGAGTCGCCGAGTGCAGGTTCCTAAATCACCAGCCACTAACAAATTCCAGAACAGTTCTTTGTCCTCAGACTACTCTTCTCCTGCCATGTAGCAGAATAGCTGGCTAATTACTACGTGGACAAAATTTGGTCTTGATCATCACCCAGGCCCAGGTTAGTACAGAGAACAGCCTCAGCTTGTTAGTCAGGAAGGAGTGCCTTAATAGAATGGGCTTCAGCAGCCTTTCCTGAGAGCATGGGCAATATCTGCCTCTTACTAAAGATAGGAAGTGCTCAGATTCAGGTTGTTGGAGCTTTTAAGAGTGTGAGTCAGATCATCAGCTGTGCAAGGTGCAGCCAGGCTGCAGCAGGAAATAAATGCCTTCTCAAGCTGCTCTCCTTAGAGCTACAAAGCTGCTAATGGTTTAGTACCAGCTGTATCCCTGGTTCTGACAAAACCTGCCATGCATCAACCCAATTTAAATACCCAGCATAAGCCCTTAATGGCAACTATAACACCTGCTGTCTCCTCTTCCAAATGTTTCTGGATACACCTTATGCACAGATCGTTTCTGCAAGGTTAGTGGTCAGGCTGCAGTGTAGGTGCCTAAAAACAAACACACATGTTAACTTTGATTCCCTACCAAACCCTACAAATCCAGTCATGGAGAAAATGGTTTGCCTGGAGCACAAACGGTGGAAGCAAAGGGCTGTTAATCTAAATGAGATATGTTAATATTTGGATGATAATGCAGCGCTGAGGACCGGGGGTGGGTGTGTGTTCTTTCCTAAAAACGTTGGCATTGTCTATGTTTGGCTTTGCTAAAGAACTGAACGTGTTGGATAGTGGAGCAGGGACCTGCTAGTGAGCTGGAAGTGGTGTCAGGGTGATTTGCAGTTAAGTGCTTACTCCTGGATTTGCAGTGGCAGTGCTGTTGGCTCTTTCTAGTCCAAGCAGCTACTTCAGATTTTTGGTCATGTTAACCAAAAAATCACTAACAAAAGGTAAAATAAAAAAAAAATCTCTTTGGTTGCGAATTTCCTTCAGCCATTTCATGGAAGGCTGTGTTTCCTGCTGGTTTCCCTGAATGAGCAGCGAGTTTTGGGTATCCTGCAGCTTTAGCAGTGCCTGGCTATTGAATCGCTAAAGCCTGGATCATCTACTTGCACCAAACCTTCTTATCCCTTTTTGTTCTTCTGTGTATTATTGTCTGGAGTAAAATGCTCAGTATCCCTGTGCCAATGAATTAGATGAGTCTGCCTGATTCTAAACAGCTGCTTTAGCTTTGGGTGGGATTTGCCCCTATGCAGAAATTACAGCTTTAAGATCAGGTGTTTCCAATAAACTTAGGTGAGTGAGCCCATGGAAAAGGCTTTGGGCAGGTTCCTGGTGCTCTTTGCAGCAGATCTTATTTTCTGTTAGCTCTGGCCACATGGGCATGGGTTTCAGGTATACTGAAACAAACTGTTTGATGTGGTATTGTATAAAACTTCAGGGCACTTTTGAGGCTTTATTTGTCCTGGTCATTCTTCACCATCAGTTGAGACATTGGTGAGAACAGCTAGGAAAATATTGTTCCAACGTGAATGCGACCAGGAGATGGCAGCATTGAAGCATGCAAAGAGCATCCAGAAGTTAAAACGCCTTTCCCTGAACTGACAGAGGTAAAAAATTACCTTGATTTAATTAGAACATATACTGTCTTAGCAATACATAGATAAATGTTAATGAAATAGTCCTGTTTTTATTTTTTTGTCCCTAACTAGCTAATGCAAGTTAGTAAATTAAAAATGCACTTAGGTTTTTGTCTAAATACTGGAGTCACCCTCTCAGCTGGTAATGATTTGATACAAGAATTTTGAAATTCAGTACCCTCTTGCTCAGAAGTTGTTATAGTCTTAAAAGGCTACAAAGATAATAGATGCTAATATTGTAATTTCTGCACACCTGCTCTATAAACTGATAATAGCTTTGCTCATAGCTGTAAAATCAGGTTTTCTTAAAGCTTAAATTTAAAAAATCTCGAACCTTTAGTTTTTCGGCGTTACCATCTTCCCACTCCTGTGATATGTATACATGTGCATTGACAGGGCAGAAGAGAGTCTGAAAGCTGGAAAACGGTGTTACCTGACCTGGTAAATAAGGAAGGAGCTTATAGGACAGCACCCATTTTTCCCCTGAAGTTGGTCTGGAGGATCTTGATTCTGTCTCTTTACTCCCATCAAAAGATGGGAATAATTCCTGGCTCCAGACCTTGCTTGTGAAAATAAGTGTGGCCCCTATCAACAGGGTGCTGTTGTCTGATGCTGTAAGTCAGCCGAGGGCCCACTGCTGGGCTCTCTCCATGGCTGGCTCTGCAGATGTTCTGCAGAGAGCTAATTTGTCACAGGGTCATCCCCAAATCCGGTAGGATGCACCGGGAATGGCCTGAGTCTGTCGGGCTGTATTGTACTCTTCTGTGGCAAGCAACAGGCTACATTTGTGTGAACAGCCAAGAGATTAAAAAGCAATTTCTTCCTGAGATCTTGGTGATCAGGGAGCTGAATGGGCTCCCACGGTGTGAGGTCACATTATTGTCTGCGTTCCGTGTCTGTTAATCCCGTAGTGGGTGCAGGTAAAAGCATTGACATGGGCAGTTCCTGTGGAGAGGCTGCACAGTTACGGCTTTCACCCTGGGCTATGCAATTTGCTTATAGCTTTCAGATGTCTGAAAACTGAAGTGTGAATTCTCTCCGTGCAGAGTTATCACACTGGTGCTGTTTGAACACGCTTATCTAAGAAAGCAAACTGTGGAGACTCACGTCGTGTGCTTTTACCTTTGGCAGCGTTACCGGGAAGGCACCGGAGCGATTGAGATCTGAGCGTGATAGAGCTGAGATTTTTCTGCACCCATCTGTCCAGGTTGTTACTTTTTAAATAAGATACCTGCGAACTTAATCTTGCATACTTGCCTTCGGAGACCTGTTCTCCACATCAAAAGGCTGCTGGGATTGTTACTGATACAAAGGAAGGTGCGTATGTAGGAACAAACAAGGCAGCGCGTTGGAAGTTCAGGTGCACAGCGCAAATGTCACCGTTCGGTCTGATCTTGGCAGTCGCAGCTCGTGGCTTTTTGAGTAGCAGAAGTGCCCTATGGAGCCAATCTGACAGCACTGCCCGGGTGACACGAGCCTTTATTTCCTTTCAGAGCAGCGCGGTGTAATCACTGTTTTTGTTCTTGTGCAGCCACAGACTCCCTTGTAAGTGCGAATTCAAATGGGAGAAACATCAAAGTTAATTTGAAATGAAATGCGCACCCCAAGTAGTCTGGGGGAAATGGAGACATTACTTTGTAGCCACCCTTCTGCTGCCAACACTGCAGCACCCCAGATGTCAGGAAGCCACGCTGCGCTCTTTGTCTGGTCTTGATTGACTAGATTGTTTTCATCTGAGCCTTTTTAAAGCTTTCCTCCTGCCTCCATATTTTTTAAGGAATAAAAAGCTAATATAAGGACATGGAGTGTTATGAAGCATGAAGTTCTATAAATATTTATGCTGAACTATCAAAAAACTTGACAGTTCTTATTTTCTTGACAGATTGGGGTCACTTGTTATTTTTGACCCTGAGAATTGAAGAGCACATGGAGTTAGATCTGTTTGTAATGACTTTTGGATATTGTTGTCTGGTAAACTTGTAGAACTGTAACAGGATAACAGACCTTTTCTTGGTGTCTTCATGAAAATGAAACTTAAAACTTATATTGTGTTAGCCACGAATGACCACTCAAGTTACTCTCTCTCACTGTAATCTCCAGTGAATTCCTGTACTTTCTTTGGCACACATAGATTTCCCACTTAGCTGCTTGGTTTGCCACTCTGAATTTGCAGTACTCTGTGATCACCTTTATGTCTAGGAATAGTAGTGTGCTCCTGAGCCCAGCACAGAATGGGATCAAGGAAGGCTAAAAGTCTGGCCTGTGGTGTCTCCAGTGTTTAGCCACCAGTCCCATCACAGTATTCCTGGAGCCAACCAAAGACAAACTCTGATTAAAAGTTTAAGTCCTGATGAACAGGCATTTTCCAGAGAGATGAGAGGCTTATAACTCCCACACTTCAGGATCCTCATTCCTTAAAATTATGTGCACAAAAGCTTAATCCTTACCTGAAGCTGAAGTGGCAGGTGAATGTTTTATAGGCCAAGTCTGGCTTTTTCAGAAAAGCTGGACCTTTATGGCAGCAGCCATGTTATTACATCCAGCTGCAGAGGCTTCTTCTGCCTTGAAAATTCATTGTCTAGGAAAGGATCAATCCATTGCTTCACCTTGAATGAAATCTAGTGTGTGTTTTAAGGTAAACCTTGAATACATTATGTGTATCTAAAACTGACCAGAATGTCTCTTGCTGTCAGTCACTAGAGGGCACAAAGGAACTACCAAGGAAAGAAGGTTGTTCTTAGGATCCTAAATCTCCGGTTCAGATATGTGAAAGTGTGGGGCAAAATTCCTCTAGCTGATAAAGGACGGGATGGCTTCAAAATTTTGGTTTCATTGGTGATTTTCTCCACCCAAATCTAGCTCTAGTTTGAAAGCTAAATATTCCAAGGGTCCTTCCATGTTCCTGTTAGTGTAATATTGTGTTCAGAAAGTACATGGCACTCAGAGCACATACATAAGCTGCTTATAAACAGTTTTTAAGTTCAGCTCCTATAATTACAAAACTGATTTCCTTGTTTGTCAGGTTTCTTTATGAAATTAGCGTCCAGTGTATGAAGAGAGAGGCAGCAAAGGGAATTGCTCTCTGACCATCTGGTTCTTCTGCAGGTGGCGTGTCTCATACGGGTTCCATCTGAGGTTGTCAAGCAAAGGGCCCAGGTTTCTCCTTCCTCGAGCACCCTCCGGATTCTCTCCCACACCTTGTACCACGAGGTGAGTTCAGAGCAGCATTTCTGAGTTGTTTCATTCTTCCCACTCGGTGCCATACATGTCCAGAAGCATTCCTACAACTTTATTCCAGTTCTGTGCTCTCCCAGCACTTTCCCCATCTATACTTGTTAAAAGTGATTGGCTTGTTAGGATTAAGGGAACCAAAGCCCTGCCTCCCCCTTGTGTGTGCACTCACTTGCATGCTCCAAACAACTCTTTATATGGGGTACCTCCATTTAAATGGGAGAAAAAAACTTTTAAAAAAAGGGATTTAGCATTCCAGGTTCCAAAGCTCTGCTTGTATGTATGCACACAGTCCTTGTCTGGGGCAGCAGAACATCGAGTCTCTGTGTGTGGAATTTGCTGAATGGTCCCCAGTTTTCGAAGCAGGCTCTGGAGGGGTTGTCCTCTGTGGGAGCCAGGAGGAACTCTGGAAATGAGTGCTCATCCAGTATTGGTGACTTTTGAAAGATAAGGGCTTTTGTCATCTTTTCAGGAGTTATGCTGTTCCCTCCTGTAGAAACCTGTTCGCTTCTGTTTTTGCAGAGTCTTACAAAGCGTGTTTCTCAGGTTGTATTCCATAAGAGAAAGTGGCTCCTGAAAACACTGTGGGGAGAGAATACTGTGCACATTTCTGAGCGTAAAATAAAAACCAGGAGAAGGAAGACATAAATATGATCTTTAAATGATTCACTTGATTGTTATTTGCTTTCAAATGAAAACTATTGTGATAACCTTGCACAAGAGGTTCACTGAAACTTCTTTCTGTGACTTGATCGTTCTGCTCTAAAAGCTGGTGTTCTCAAAACCAGATGTTTTTCCCCTCCTGTGTTGCTGTCCAGAGAACCATAAGCCTTTCCAAACACTTGAATGAACTGCCCTATAATAGTGAACAACATAATTTTATATATCCTTATAAAACAAGTTTTAGTTGTTTTGAATATTAGTCAGCTGGTTAAAAATATAAACTATTTCTGTTGATAAAAGCTCTGAATCAAGGCTAAGAAGGTGAAAATAAAACCCTCTGGCATTGTAAGTAACGGAACACAATATACAGTGTTACAATGAATATAGTCAATTTGAGGTTCAGGTGTGACTCTGGGTAAGGCTGTAATGCCTGCTGTGTAATCATTGACTAATTGTGCTCTTTGGCAAACTAATTCCCTCTGGATGATGCTTTCTTTTGTTGTTTTACAGGGTGTTCAAGGACTTTATCGGGGTTATAAAAGCACAGTATTAAGAGAGGTAAAAACACTTGTCTTTTTCTCTCTTTTTTTTTTTTAAATTGATTCCTTTGCCTCACTTAGTTTTCTAACAAGAGAGAGTTGTTCCGATCAATTGCTTGAACCATAAGCTCTAAAGCCCAGCGTATTTCATTGTAGATAAGTTACTAGTCTGTAATTTAAATAGAATACTGATAATGTGCACTAAGAAAAGCTGTGATTCATGCATCCTGTCTCTCAGTTCTCTTGCTGCTAAATCGAAAATGGAGGGAAAGGTATATGTTAACATGAGAAAACCACAAACTACAGTACTGGAAACTTTCTCAAGTCTTGTGATTGCATCATGTGAACTATATATGCCAACAATGGTGAACTGGTGGCATCAGGCCAAGTTTAGCACAGACAGATTTAGTCTTTCTTTAAATATATTCGTCAGCAGATGCCAAGAGATTATCTGTCATCTGTATATAGGGAGGATTGTGCTCTCTTTTTTTCTTTTTTAATGTGTGAAAGAAATGTATTTAGTCACCCAGTCTGTAGATTTGATATGGCATTACTTAACTCTAAATCAGAAGTACTTCACTGTTGGGGAAAAAAAAAAGTGTGGCTAAAAATATTTTTGCCTGCTTGGCAGAAAATAGTTCCTAAACTAAAATCTTTTCATAAGTGTAATGTGAATTGCAGGATTAGTATCATGGAAGTGTTTGATATGCTGTGTGGACTGAAGGCAGATTATAAAAGAAGTAGAAAAATCTACTGATCAACTCCCAGTCTACAATAGTTTCAGAATCAGATCCCAGGAGGTCATCTTCTGACAAAGCAGAAATTGCATCGTGTATGTGTAGCTCAGACAAAGAGATGAGGCTTTGTTCCTCTGAAAACAAAAAATCACAGAAAGGTTTGGGTTGGAAGGGACTGTAAAGCTCATCTTGTTCCAACCCCCTGCCATGGGCAGGGACACCTTCCCCTAGACCAGGTTGCTCAACCTGGCCTTGGACACTTCCAGGGATGGGGCAGCCACAGCTTCTCTGGGCAACCTGTGCCAGGGCCTCTCCACCCTCACAGGGAAGAATTTCTTCCTGAGATGTGATCAGGCATAACCCATGTTGTTCAGGAAAGTGCTTTATATGTGTATGTGGGGGGGTTTGTCCTCTCCTTACATAACTCAACTGAGTAAAACAACTTTGGCTCTTTCCTCTTTTATTTTTAACCACAGGTTCGGATCTGTTGGCTGTGTTGCCATTGATAATAAAGCCAGTTGCAAGGCCTTTTAAGCCTTGATTCAATAGCTCTTTTAAAAGCCTTTCTTCATGCTGAAAACTGTTGTTAGGTACAGTTCTGTTAGCCAACTCTTGCTGCAAGCATGGAATAAAGATGGGTATGACCTAAAGTAAGAAATACAAAACTTAGTGTTCCTTAAAGTGCTGGCAAATGCTAATACACTGCAGCCTATTTTAGCAGTTTTGAGTGTTTAAAAAATTAGTTATTTGTGCAGAGATGACACCTGCTTTTCTGAAAAGTAACCTCCACCACAGCTTTGTCCTGTACTTATTTTCTGGCTCACTAAACACGTTATTCACTCAGATTTCATTTGCAGACGGGGAAAAAAAAGGCCAACAAATACGGATCATTTTGATTTCTCTGAGGGGTTCTGAATAAATGAATAAATTTAGATCCCATTGAATACAGATTTTGCATACTAACAGGTAGATAAAACACACACTTGCTACTGGGTGCTATTCTCCTTAAAATTTGTTTTGACATATGTCAGGATGGTAATTAATTTGCAGGCCATACTCATGACACAGTGTGTGACCCTGCTGAGATAACTTTGTTTACTCAAAATGGCAGCACTTTGTTGGAAATTTAATGGGGGTCCTCTCCATTATGTATATTCATAAAAGATCCTTCAGAACTGATTTCAGTTGAAGTATTGCTTTTTGGGAGAATCTGTCCAATAGAATGAGAAATAAATGATTACCAAATGAAATGTGCTTTCTCTTCAAAATGAAACAAATCATAGGTGATGTTCAAAGTGAAAAAAAAAAATCTTTGAATTTAACACTGTTAAGACTGATGCATTTTTCTGACATTAAATTTTCTAAAGCAATGTCCAGTTGAGTAAGAGCAGATTATTGCACCTTCAGCTGGAGCTGTTGCAAGCCTGACATTTAATCTTGGGATTTTTCCTTCTCTTTAAGTACATTTCTTCCTTTAGGCAAAGTCTTTATTTTCAGATAAAAATCTATATTAATTCATTATTGGACACATCCTGGTAGCTGCATAGCATGTATAGGCTGACATTTAATTCCAGCTGACTTTTTTACTTACAGAGTTTGTTTACATGCTTTGGTTTTTTACCTACACAAACCCCTTTGTTACAGTGGAGTGGGATTTTTTGGATAGAGGGGCTTCAATGCATGATTTTTCACTTAAAAGAAGTAATTGGAAGAGGCTGGGAATATTGATGCTTTTCAGATGATGATATTCTCGCACTGCCAAAGTTCTTGAGCCAGAATTTAAGAAAGGTTAATTTTAGCTGTTGCACTGGGATAAAACTGTGTGTATTACATCAAGCAGATTTCAGTGCCTGGGCAGAGATCTGCTTGCCAGTTGATTGGACTTCAGTGGGAATGAGTCTGTTTATAAATGGAGTGTAATGTTGAAACCTCATATTTTTACTACAGCAGATCTTTTCAGGACAGTTTCATGTAATTTGCTTTAGCTGCTGTGCTGCTGCTGTTCTGGTGCAAGGTAGTTGTTTCATCCTTCATTTTTGATTCTCAGTCTTTCACTCACCCCTTTATCTTCTCCTCAGAATACTTTCTGAGCAGATGAATGTTGATAGAGAAAGAAGATGGCTAAATATATAATGCTTTTGGAAATAACTGCGTGAACTTCAATGCGTGAAAGGTTTGACTGTGTCTCTTTTCACCTACCTCCTTTTTGGTGACTTTTCTCTCATCTCCGTTAGTTTTTGGTCTTTATATCTTGCTTTGATGTAGTTACACTGAACTAATCCTAAAAGGGAAGGGGAAGTGAGGTACAGTGCATCGTTCTGTTGGCAGTAGAAGCCCGAAAAAGACATCTGTGCTCCAAGAGGAAAGCTTTTGTAGTAAAGCACAAAGTGAGAGTATGGTTATTAGGTTGCTGAATGAGACTTTGAATAAATGGCAGAAATCGGAGGCTGTGAAACGATGTGGAATTCCCATGATGTCATTTCCAAAGCAAATCCAAGTGAGAATTGTCCTTTCCTATGGTTATAGAGTACCAATGTTCATCGGTGTGGAAAGTGGATTACACTACTAAGAGCAGTCAATGAGCAGGTAAATTTATTCATGTTTTCCACAACAGAGACAAGTTAATTTGTAAAATCTCCAGCCATCTTATAACAAGGCAGGACCAGACTATAAATCCAGTGTAAATCCTCTAGAATTTCTTAATGGGAACGTAGTTCTGCTGCTGAGATCTCATATAAGCAAATGGAGCCAGATTTTTAATTCCTGCATAATTCATTTTATTAACTATGACCAAGTAGAACATCTGTTAAAATTCCATAACGTTCAGTTCATGGGAAAAAGAAAGAAACCCCTGAGTTCCCGTTGGAGCTCTTCCATTTCCGTTCATGTTACAGGACTCCAGCAGATGTCTTAAAGAACGTTATTATGAATGAGGGGGCAACACAAAAGGAAAGGAAGTGCTTTGTCCACTTTGCCTGTGTACAATGAGTTACTTCACCCTTGGCATGTCTGTGTGCAGGTTGCATCTTTGCACCAGTAGTGCCACAGTAAATGTTGTGTCCTTTCAGTCATGAGATACCATGGCTTGGAGGAACTGAGCGAGTGCTGAGTGGGTGTCCTGTGTGCTTCAAATTCAGTCTGTCACTTTAAAAAATGTTGCAGATGGACTGGGCTCCAGCTTAGAAATAGATTCAAAAGGAGCTAAAATTTAATATTAAACTCTTCTTATCCTCTGTGTTGCCTCACAGACTTTTCTGAGACAGTTCTCACTCTGGCCATAGTGGCCTCCGTTCATGTGGAGATAGCAAAGATGCTCTACTTGTCAGTGTTGTTTCAGAATTTATCTCAGAGCTCTGAATTTGAAAGGAACCTACCTGACCCCACTCTGGTACAGCAGAGTATTGGCCTTGCTTTCAGTGAGATGGCCAAGTTGTGCCTTTTGGAAGTCCCAGTTTGTTAAGTTAGTACACTTGTGGGCTGGTTTGGGTTTTTTCTATTTGTTTTTTTGCCTTAAATGGATTCAGGTCAGAGCCTAAATGGACAAAGGCAGCTGTGCTGTCTTGGGAGGGAGAGAGCACTCCATGGTATGTTAAGTTTGGGGAAAAGAAGGACAGCTAGTTCCAAATATGCTGTTCCATTTATGAGTGGCAGCAGTGTGACAAACAGCAACACGCTCAGGCTCTTGCCAGTTCCAGAAAGCCAAGAAGTCATAATGTCTCCTGAGGAGGAGAAGGTGCTGTTTGGTGTGTGTGTGTTCCACAGAATGCTGTCCTGTAGTAGGGTGTGTCTCAAAAGGGCTATGGAGAATATGCATCTCTGCAGATGAAGAAGGAGCTAGGAGGACAAAGACTAACAAAAACCCCTCTTCTCAAATGATTTGCTGCCTGGCAGAGGGAAACTAAAGCAACTAGCAGCAAGATGGGCCTTACAGGCACACCTTCTGGGTGTTTCTAAATTTAAGGGGTCAGTGAACAAAGGATGCTGAGAGAGGTTTGTATAAAAATGTGAAACCCAGCTGGGATAGGTTGACCCTGTTGACTGAGGGCAGGAGGGGAGCTGTGAGGGCCAAGCTCGATAGGGAACGCTCTGCAAACAAGGAGCCCGGTTTGTTTATTCACTCAAGGTAGTTTTGCATGCTTTTCTTTTGTTAGGACATCTTTATATAAATATCCTGTTCTCCTAGCTGTTAGAGGGTTTTTTTTTTAAAGTTTATCTCTGTTGCTGTAGGACAGAAAGAATGTTATTAATACATTCTTTGACTTGCACAATTAAAACTTTGATC